AGGCCCCAGAGGGAGGGACAGGACAAAGCCTGACACACCCTGCCGGCCCCCAGGCCCCAGAGGGAGGGACAGGACAAAGCCTGACACACCCTGCCGGCCCCCAGGCCCCCGAGCCACAGCAGAGCCCATGGTCATGCTCACCCTCAGTGAAATAATGTCTTTAAGCTCAGCCTGTCCAGCGTCTGCAGTGCACGGCGCAGCCAGCAGCTTCTACAAATCAAAAGTGCAGTTAATCCGAGAGATGTTTCCTAATTAAATCTGAATCACGAAACGAGGCAGCCTGTGTTTCTTATTGCGGAGATGTGCTTAATATTGCTGTCCATTAAGAAAAAGAAATCAGATCAGCCGGCTTGTCCGTGAAACAGTGATACAGATGAGGCGTGATGATCTACCTTTGGGGGTGGGGGTGTGCGTGGCCGAGGTTTCTTAATGTCGCTGAAAAAAGACAAATGGAAGCGCAACAAGCGCACAGGATAAATCGCATCATTACTGTTCAGGAAAAGCCTTCCCCTCATTATCATCATCATCATCAACCCTGTGAGGATAGATCAGCCAACCGGATGGTAATGAATAAATAAAAAAAAGATTTGAAATGGGTTGTGGGTAGATTACCGGAAACTGGACATTTCTGCTTCGGCAGAATGACAGACTCATAGGAATTAGATGCCCAGCCTCTCCTTATATACTGGGCGTGTGGCTGAGTGGCTTAAGCTTGTGATTGGAAGGTCGTTGGTTTGAATCCCATCCCACACCCTTAGAAGAAATGTCCATCGAGCCCTTGAACAAGGCCCTTAATCCCACCCACCCCAAAAAAAAAAATGCTGAGCAAATGGTTGACCCTGCACTTAGACCCCCCAACTTTGCTTGTGACTGTATATGTATGTGTGTGTATGTGTGTTGGTACCCACAATGTGGGGGGGGGGGGCTGAGATGACTTTGTTCCCCACTTACCCCCCCCCCCCCCCCCCACCCCGCACACACACGCAGGTTTACAGTATGTTATGCTAAGACACAAAGCCTACTAATAACATTCCGAACTGATGGGTCATTACACAGCCCTGTAACGTTTAAAGACTAATCCCTTAAAATGCTGTGTAATATTTCATGGGTATGACATCCTCTGCTCTGCATGTCCGAGATAAACGGCTCGAAAATGGATGGATGAAAGCTACTGCTAAGATTAATTCCTACCGAATCAAAACCCACAACCTCAGTATAAACTAGAGCTGTAACGAATACAGAGGGTAACGATCGAATACGAATACACATCACGATACTAGGAAGCGAATATGAATATTTATTAATGAATATGAATATTCATATTTAAGTTGTGTTAAATAACCTCACAAACTAAAACATTTTAAAAATGCAAGCTATAATAAGAAATAGCACATCATAAAATCTCTTAGAAACGAAGATTTTTTTAAAGTGTTTTCGAGTGAACCTAAGCGTGCCTGTTTGTTCCTTCGAGAGCCCTATATCCCTCTCATATCATTTTAATACACTCAACAATACTCGAGTGATGAGGACTTGTCATCCACCGGCACCGTACACATTTATTGGTCGAGGGTATAGTGTCGAGGGTATAGTTTGGGATTGGGCCATGATCTTTACGGACGTAAAGTGGAGCTCCACAGGAAACACGTGACCTCTACCGGAAACTACCACTCTGTTAGCGAAAAGAGACAAGATGATCATAGAATCCAAGGAGCCACTCCTCTTTGGTTTTCAGATCCAAGAGGACATGGAATTATTTTTACAGGCCTGTGTTGACCAGCGGGGCTTCCGGGTTAATGCTGTCTGTTATGAGAAAGATTAAATTACTGGCATATGATTGATTGATTTTTTTTTTAAATTTCATTCTGTTTGTTGTTCTTGTTGCTGTCTAAATAAATTT